AGACAAAAATAAGTCCCGTTTAAATTATAGATAGTCCTATGATACCAGATCTGTTAAACGGTTCATGAAATTTGGGCCACTGTGGTCTAGGAGTTAGCCCTTCGTTTGCCAAATGTAGCACTAGAAATACATTAGAAGTTCACTATAAATGCAGCAAAAATGTACGGGTACAAAATTGCTCCAAGCAGTCGTGATTTTTAAGGACATTGATAGGCGGTCTGTTCAAAAAACGTTTTTTATGCACAGTTTAATTGATACGGTACTTGATTGTAATTGGAAGTATGGTACCATTAACACCTTTATTGTTTAAGTATAACGCCGTGTATAAGCCTTTGCTAGAAGTTTGGTGACTTTTTTAACGGTCCCAATGTGTCGCTCATAGACGTTAATGTGACCCAACTACAACAAGTGGGTATCTGACAAAATATGTTTGGGACCGGGAATTGCAGCGCTAATCGAAAGGACTTTTTAAATTAAGTCTATAGCTTGTATGGGAGAATTTGCAGAGAAAACCACTTAGTACTTATAGAAAAGTCCTAATTCATGTAGCAGAACGTTATATCGCTGAGTAGAAAGAGGAAATTTGTTAAACTGGTCGCTGATTAACCAGGTTTGTTGAGCTCACATCAATCTACCTGAGCCCCCTCGATTTTGATGTTCGTAATATTTACAGCAGGGAACGGATAGGTTTACTAAGAATACCAACTAGAGTTTATGGGTGAGGTAATAATTCCATTATCTTTTGCCTGCTTATGAATAATGGTGTCCGAATTACCTAGTTTTAAGCAACTGTAGATGTGCATCTTGGAGCTTTAAATTCGTAAAACAATGAGATGCATTGGTTAGTATGTTTTGCATCCACCGAACTACAGCAATCATTTGACTTATCCTAAACCTATGCTTGCTGTAGATCACGCCACAGACCATTCGGTGTACAGAAACACCGTTAACCAGGCAAAGAAAACGTCGGGCATAATTTCTTTTGCCGTGTAGCAGTTAATGGCCAATTTCGCACTTAAAACTGCCTCAAGTGTACCGACAACGTGGCCGGCACTACAGCAACGAAACGGTCTGCAGAAGCAAATATATGCGTCGTATTAGGTTTGTTAATTGTTTCGATCTTCTTTTCCCGCTTTTTGAACAGTTAGATGGTAAAAGTGAAAACATATGTGCACTTGAAACCCAATATTACCTAGTAGATACCCACGAAATACCATGGGTCGTAACCTGTTTCTCTCTGTATGTGCGCCCTAAAGCGCAAATGTCTAAGGAATATACAGGAGTGTGTTAAAGCTAAAAGGTTTAAACAAGGAGTTCATAATCACGTCCTTTACTTTAAACCGCGCATGAAAGTTTAGCGAAATATAAATGTTTTCTACAATCAAAACCGTTTACTTGTAAATCGGTTAGTTTAATGTGGCATATGAAACAGTTTTAATTCGCTGTACAACAGTTCTGATGTAATGAAACTCTGGGATTTTATGCTTTTTTACTTAGTGCAAGTGCTGTCAGTTTCCTCAGCTATTTTTAAGGTTTAGAAAATCCGAAATACAGGTACTCGGGGCAAAACAAAATGAGGTATGCTTCTAGAATCCAGGTAGCGTAGATTTAAGCTTTCGGAAACTGTGCTTTGAGTTTTGTTGAACCATGCATGAAACAAGTTTACTGAAGGTAGTAGCTAAAAGTAAATTGAACTGAATTTTTAAAAGTCTGCTAACAGGCAGTTTAGTTGCACTGGGTCACATGCGTTGCTGATTTTTCTGTTATCCAGTTTAGGATAAATTGTAACTTAACAGAAATTGTGGCGCACTTTGCATTTTTTTGATTAGGACAAAATTTGATAGGTTTCGCAATATTTGTGTATCATTGCATTGGAGCCATACCTCACAGCAAAATCTGTGATTGACAGATATATTCCGATTTACCATCTGGGTGTCAATCAGCCTTATGCCGAGTTTGCGTTTTCCGCCTGAAAAACCGTAATACCCGCTTTCATGTCTGCACCGAAGCTTTTTCATTCACGATCCTACGGAGTGTAGATGGTACACTCTAGTTAAGAACTAAGCATGCAAACACTTAATGCCCCCTGGTACTCGCATCAAAACCGCTGATCGTGAGTGATGGGGGCTTGCGGAACCCGTCTTTTGCTGCACAGTAAAAACAAATAATCAAAGGATTATGGTGCATCGTAGAAAAGATATTAAGGTGCATTGGCAAGTGTTTTGATTGTTTTTGCTGAACTGCAAATTAACAGTTTGACCATGGATAATACCGAATGTAAGGCATTCAAGAAGCACATGTTTATATGCATATATTTCAAGCAGGTTTTTTATCCATTGTGCTCCATGTATAGTAAGTATCTAACCTGCCAACAAGTTTCATCATGTAGGTCCATAACCTCCAGATGCATGAAACTCGGAGCATCTATGAAATAAAGTTATCATGTGTATACCAATAAGACAAAAGTTGTGGCACAGTTTCATCTGTATCAAACTGGTGCTAACTGTTTTACTACACTCTGACACGTCATGGAAAGTAGCTCTTTAGATGTCCACTATTTTAATGAGACTACCACTTCTGGTTATTACTCCGAACGTGGTGAAATTAAAAAATTCTTAGAAATTGGCCTGTTTGCTCATATACTTTTCATTTGGATGATTTCAATTGACTGCTTCTGCGATTTGTGGTATTGCGCAGCCTAGTATTGAAATTTCCATACACGTCCTCAGCTACTAGCAACGTGTTCGTCCTCCGGCTGACACAAGCCAGTGAGATTTTAGCCAGAAAATATCTACCTGGGCTGAGAAGCGTACATGGCTTCACCAAACACATTTGTAGAGGGAGTTGGATTTTATATCCTTCAGCACTTTTGTGTTAGTACTTGGTACTTAACATGGACAGTAGAACCATGTATTATTGCAAACGAGATTTAGTTAAAGTAATGAGGCGAATAATTTGATCACCTTGCTTGTTTGCAATATTAACTACGACAAATGCATCATATCAGTTTAGCTTTTACAAGCAAACATAGTTTATTTGCCGCAATTTCCTGAAGCAATGACGATATAACTATTATCAAGAGTTCATGTGAACTTGATGGGAAGTAAAGCCACTTAACGGAATACTTTGTTCTAAAAATGTGTTTTCATGAATTTATATTCCGTTAACGCTGTAATATTCACCCAAAATTGCTGAAGGCCAGTCACAGTGCAATAAAACTTTGTGCAAAGAAAGCAGGTCTTTTTTGCACGCAATTGAGACTAACCAGTATAGTATTCCTAATGTACATGGTTGGAAGCACAGATTTGTTATTACATTTAAGTTCACTGAAATTAAAAATAACGGGGGTTATTTCGTTATCCGTTGAGTTATGCTGATCCATACACGAAAGCTATCGGTCAAACAATGAGACCGGTTTACCAGGCCTTACTTCCAGTTACTATGAAACCTAGTATGAGAACAGTTACTTATTAACAGACTCTACAGGCCAAAACTGTCCAGTAATTATCACATGAATAGCAATTGCTGGATTTCCTCCTAAAAGGAGAACATGCACTTCGATCAATTGTATGGCAGTACAAGTTATTGTCACGCAATTAAGTATGCATTTCCGCCGTAATTATGGATAAGTCGTTCATAACTGGTGGCACCCTGATTAATGGCTCAGGTGCTTTGGCAGCGATGTCCTTTTAATTACCGATGAGTTTCCATGGGTAGATCAAATCAGCAAGTATTTTTGGTAATATGCCTAAGTTTAATTACAGTGTAATCATTGAAAAAACTGCACCCGGTGTGAGTACAGAATGCTGCCCTTACCGACAAAACTATGGGCTCTACTGATGGCGTAAGTGTCATATTTCCATAGTTTGAAATCAAGTTCGGTTTTGAGTAATGTGTACTTGATGGATCGACATGGTTAGGTAATCTATCGTTTGATGGGATTTCAGCAACATCAAGGTCGAACTTGACTTTAAGCCTAATCCTCAGAGAGCTCACCACGAAAACCTGATTTTCGTATAGTGAAAATTTAACAATTTTCGAGTCCAGTGAAATAGTTACAGAAGACTGGCTAATCAAATCTATCAACCGATACTACTGTTAAGGTCCATTTTGGTATTTATGAAGGGTAACCTTTTGACAATTAATGAAGTCGTTTAAGAGACCTAATTTCCGGAAGTTCATATACAGCTATTTTTATCAGTGACAGTCAGCTGAATTTAAAGAATATTAGAAGCAGGTCATGGTATGCTTTAATTTGCTAACGAAATGCAATGCATAAAGGATAATGCCAAAGGTAAGCATATCTTGCAGCATGAATGGGAAGGGGACCTGCATTCGAACGACGTAGATTTACATTCACCGGCTGTGGGAGTGCTTGCAGTAATGACACATTTGATATCTCCATCGTGTTTAACAATTATACTACCAAAGTAAACTTTCTGATTAACATTAGAATAAGTGTGCACTTAAATCTAGTCCATTTCTGAAGTAAAAATATTCCCCGGTATTTCGTTTGTTTGAATAATCTAAATCTCAATGACACCTGGGGAAAAATTAAAATCTTGCTCATATTTATGTGAATAAATGAGTTATGTTGAAGTGCCTGGTGCTTGACTAAACAAAATCGTCGGACGTGTCACTCAAAGTTCGCAAAACATCTTTGCCATTCCTGCTGTGTTCTCCCTGGTGGTCCTACTGAAAATTACTTTTACACGCAATGCTTTTCCTTGTGTGGTTAAAGAGTTGCAATAATGGGTGTGGAAAAGTTTTCAGAATCTCGATTAGTAATAACGAGTTTATGCAAATCAACGAGGTATGTTAGGAGAATGGCGCCAGTGTCGTGTAAAGCGTGCCGACCTGGCGCTCTTTTGTGCAACAGCTGACGGTGGCTGATTGGCCAGAAATCAGGATGAACATTGCTCACAATGATTGGGTTGTCTCATTCCCATTTTTGATTGGTTGTCATCATTGATATTTTAACAGCAATATACATTCGTACTGTAGGCGAGATAAATGTGCGTCACACCCGAGTAAACCCTAGCTAGGAGATAATAAACATGACACAGTGCTTTATTTGCGAGAAAACTGTTACCTGATGCTTTGAATGGCTGAACAGGAAAAACGATAGAAGTAACGGATTATATGTTACTGCTCAAATTACAATGATTGCTTTAGTATCTTTTATGAGGATCGCTCTTTTATGCTTTATGTTTTGGTATAACTTGCCTGTGTCTTTGTTAATCGGGCCCGGTCTGACTCGTTACCACTCAAGAACGGACAGCGATGATACAACCTCCTGGGATTCCGCTCCCCTATCTTTTGGGAGTGATGGAAATGCATACGCTTATTGGAATTGTCATCTTATTCCACCAAATATGACACTGTGCAAAAGTGTCGGATATTCAAGGATGGTATTACCCAACTTCTTGCAACACGAAAGCATACGGGAAGTAATTCAACAAGCTAACGTTTGGGTAGCGTTAGTCAATACCAACTGTCATGCGGATATTCAACGATTCTTGTGCTCCCTGTACGCTCCAGTTTGTTTGAAAAGTCACCAAGAAGCAAAGATACCACCATGCTGGGAACTGTGTGATCAGGTGCGTACTGCGTGCTTACCGCGGATGCGTTTATTCGGGTTTGACTGGCCTGAAATTGTGCAATGCAGCAAGTTTCCAAAGCTGGCTGAGAGCATGTGCATTCCACCACAGGAGGTATCCAGTAAGTACCAAAGATTGTGCCCAAACCATTGCTTTCCATTTAACTAAAGACTGTACGTTTAAAGTAGGTAGTGCAACACGTTTCGTCTGGAGATGTATTGAGCCAAGTCAACGTCTTACAAAGAACGTTGCTAGATGTGCATAAGAATCAACTATTGAAGTAGACTACAGCCAAACTATAAATCCAGTTTAGATTGATAGCGTTCACGTGGAAATGAATCAACTTCAAAGAAAAATGAACGCCAAGCTAGTTTACTTTGATTAATAATGCGTACTTTGAATTAGAGCAAGAATTCTCGCGGTTTCATAAATGTGACATTGACCTTCAGTAACACCGTATCAGTTCACTTTAGGAAAACAAATCCTAAGCGCTAAACCATAATTTCATCTAGTGTTTCGAGTAGTACGCCTCACTGTTTTCATCAAATTTGATTCGTTTTATTTGTAGACAAATTACAGGTCGAAGATAATGCTCAACTAATCCACAAGGTGAATTAGTTCTTAAAAACTAAATAAAGTTACTAGCATATTGGCTTTGAAGTTTCTTTTGTTTACAGTATTTTACTCCTAACCGAAGACAAATATAGACCCAGTATATTCAACGAAGTGCAGAATTCATGATGATCATGAGCCTGTTAATCTAAGTTGTTTGATGCACTTGATTCTAAAATTGGTATGCTTTGAAATGCAACAAATTGCTTTATCGGTGAAGTTACCGGCTAGATAGATAGATGTTCACTATGCTCTCTATAATTAGTAATGTCTTTTAGAGAGAGGGAAACCGATGCGCTTTAAATTCTTAACACGAGATGAACTGCTACACAACGCGTTTTGCATGATAATCCATTCGCAGCGAAATGTGTCTGAATTTTCGAAACTGGTAACGTATGATACTCTGGTGTAACTATGGGAAAGTCGGATGAATTTAGCACGATTGTGGACAAATTCTCTACTTTTTGACATTGAGGTTCAGATCATTGGTCAGTCTGTTATCCATAAGCACAAGGATAATAAATTATGCAGCGAATAATTTAAAAAAGACGTTTACACTGAAAGCATCATTGAAAATGCAATGAAGTGAAGGAGACCGGAGTATTTTATACTCAATTTTTTATAATAAAGTTAATCCGGAAAGCACCGTTTTGGTCGAGTCAAATACACATCAAACGACTTTTTTGTACTCACGTACTAGGTTTGATATGAATAAGTAGTAACTTTACATTGCTTTGCCAATGAATACATTGGCATGTACCCTTGCGTGGTTTCAAGCTTTGGTTAACCTTAGCGTGAGCTTCTAACAACCACAAAACTTAACTTGCATTGCAGATATGTAGGCAGAAAACAAGAGAGTATTTTGCAGCTAGTGAACAAATGTGACTGATTAGGAGATAAGAGCACTATGGATAATCTTTAACCAGTTGCAAGGTAAAATATATGGGGATTTAACTTTGAGGACAACTGAGGTTGACAACGGATTTGCGTATAAAATATGTATGGTAAATAATTTGCGACAGGTACAGTAGCTAACTTCATAACGTCGTTAACCTATTTCTGCGGCCAAAGAAGTGGAACTGCTAGTAGCAATGGACGTAAGCTGTCATTCTTAGCTACATCGTATGGACTGGGTCGGTGAAACATGCAGATTCTGTCGTATCAATTTAAGGAACAGCGACATCTCCCAGTAAATTAACAAGTTCATTTTACTGTACGTTGAAGACATATAAGGACGACTCTTTAGGCAGATGTTACACAGTCTGAACTTACAAGGCCGCATGAGATGAAACGGAATTATAACTACTTTAAGTTTTGGGATAACACCTGGTACGTGCATCTTTCTTGGGTGACTCACACCCAAACTCGTGCTCTATGGTGGGTTTCTGCTTCGTTTGATTCTCTCTCGCGGGATTAGTTTGTTTCCGTTGCTTAACACAGGTCCACATACGTGCTGGCTTAACGTAGTGAGCAGTAGACGAATGTACTTTGAGTGTTTTCCATGGATGAATTTCATTTTGGTTAGATTAATCGGTCTGCGTGATGGGTTTGAGCAACACGATGGCAACCGAAATCTCGCCGACGCGCAAACGCACCGTGCTTGTACTTAGAAATATCTCGGCGATAAACTGGCTCGTGAGAATACGCAAAGTAACGCATGTCAGGTGTTGGAGATTTTTGGGATGGAATTGCAATGAACCAATTACCAATAGCTCTACATTTTTAGTATGGGTGCGAAAACAACCAACCCGACGGGTAGTTACGGCGAAGCAGCCATCTTGTAAGTGCTCTGGTCAAAAATACCTTCAGTCACTTAGCTCGCATGTCGTGTCGAAATTTAACTCATGTTCACAAGTCTTCAAGCGAGACACAGTATGTGTAGTCTTCATATACAACCCACATGCTTGATACAAAAATTAAAAGTGCTACCCTGCCTCTCGCTTCCACATCGCTTGTATGCAACCAAATGAATTTAGCAGCCAGTTCACTCACTGGATGGTCAGGCTGACGTCTACAGCCCGCTATAACATATTTTAACTTCTTCACTAAACTCTGTCCATTACTAGCGTAACGTTATGATTACATCCCTCTAAATATCTTCGCTATTAAAACTGCTACACTATAGACATCTATGAAAAACTAAAGGTAACTTTACTTTGCACAAGACTGTGAATTTTGGTGTTTAGTCTTACAGTCTTACAGACTAGACACTTTAATTAAAGTTTTAGCTGCAATTAATCCCCAGCTATCCTTTCTTACCTACTTCATTGCGGCTTTAATACCCTTAAAATGAGCAATGATTTTCATCTTGTTTCTGAAAAGTTAGGAAACTAAAATGTTATAGGTCACTGGTATTTATTACTGACTATTTCGAGGAACTATATTAATTAAGTGGATTCTCGGTACGCCAAACTGTTGTCTGGTTAGGAGCAAAAACTGAGCTCTTAAGCTAACATACTATTTAGTCGACACGGTGGTTTCGCAGAATTTTCTGTAAAAGGTTGCTTCACTAATCTCTGCAGCTTCTTAAAGTAGGAGCGTTTCGTGAAATTCCTTGAGTGGAAAGTGAAGATTTTATGCCCACAAGTCATGAGTTGGTACACACACAGCATTACATAAATCATGCCGGTGGGAGCACGGTTTGTTGTCGCAATTCAGATGAGCAAGTCAGATGATTCTTTATGGTAGCTAAGATTAATGATTCATTCAGGAGGGCAGCTGCCTAAAGCATCGAACCCCTAAAAATCAGCTGAATTTTGTGCAGTGCTGTCATGAAAAGATTATTTAAATGCCTGCATTTGCAGCCAAAAGGGGATGAACGCAAGACCAAAAGTGCTTTATTTCCAAATTGGGGCCAAATACCAAGTTTGATTTTACCAAGTATCTAACGGTTCAAGGACCTAGCAATTAGATGGGGTGCCAAGCAAGTGGCACAATAAGGTTTCATAGACATTTTTCTTTCAACTACAGAGGGCATAAGTTTTGGAAAAAGTCTTCCAGTTCAAACGTTTTCGGTGTAATAGCAATAAAATGGACAGTTTGGATGCAGTGTTCTATGTTATCAGCAAATCAAGCAATTGCTAGCGCCTATTGACAAATCACAACTTTGCAAATTGGCCAATTGTATTTGTGGCAGTGTATCGTACATTTGAATATGCATAACGAACTTCAGATAAATGAAAATGGTGCGGTAACATTTGATTCAGTCACCATTCTTCTAGAACGCCACCTTAATTTTACTTGTCTACTTCTTGTAATAAGAACCTTAGACGGCACTATGCTTAAACGGTGGTAACTTTGCCTCAAAGCTAATTTGTGATGGATGGCGTTTGAAGCCATCCAGCTATATAGTAACTACATAGGTTATAACTGTAAGTAGCCTATGGCGCGTGAAGCTATGCGTAATTCCCCGTGATCGTTGTTCTCTAATTTATCACTATACAAAACGAAAACTTCGTACCGAACGCGTAGACATGATCGACGATTTCAGGTCTCACGTTATGTGGTTTGCTGGGTCACAAAACTCTACAAATATAGATGTTAGAGTTGGCCATGTGATCGTTCCCAGAAAGATCTTCGGATTCGCACAAAACGTAGACCACATGCTTATTTTACGTTTGCCAGAACTCAAACGCTTCTATCCGAACATGCGCATAAACCTGATCTACCCGAGAGTTAAATCTCTTCAGCATAGTGCTTGGCCTCAAATCCTGCACTAGCATACAATTTGTCCGATGAACAATGAGCGCTTAGATGCGATTGCAACATTCAGTTGGCTTCTATACGGTTTCATTTGTACTCTGCATCTTCATCTGCCTGACAAAGCAAAAGTCTTTAATATTCTTGAATGCTGAAACTGATTTGTAGAAGAATTCGACCGAACGACTTAGTGTTGATAGTTTAATGTTCATCTAGTGTGCACCACACTCCGCAGCAACGTGCGATTGCCAAATCGTACAAGCACACACGACCACCAGCCCACAGTCGCAGGCATTCGGACAGAAGAAACATTTGGGCTTAAGCTATGCGTATGTTGTGCCCACCCGACGGGTTTGCGCAAACAGTGTGCCGACCTGTCATGAATTTGTGACGAGCGGAAGATCAAAGCGCAACTTCATCAAGCAGTCGTCAGGACGAACCGAACATGCTTTCATTATATTTGCAAAGCGATGTCCCGCTTTCATTCTGGTCGATAAAGCAGTGAATTTGTTCTTTTTATGACGGACGCATGTACAAAAATGAGGATTACTGCCGGTTGTATTCGGTGAGGATTGCATCCAGGAAGTTTGGGTTAGCAATCACGGCAAACTTTCATGTCTATGGTCTTTGTTTGTAGGATTATAGCTTTGTTAGAGGCATGTGTGCGTAGTTCTTAACATCGCATCACCATGGTCGAAACTGTCGCTCCGAAATAGTTCGAATGTGTTATTACCATAGGAAAGTAGTATAAAGATAACTTTATCACCACTGACAACAGGCTTTGCAAATTGAGCTGCACGATGGCAGTGC